ATATATATATATATATATATATATATATATATATATATATATATATATATATATATATATATATATATATATATATATATATATATATATATATATAGAGAGGGTGTTTTATGTGTATATTTGTATAAAAAGGGGGGTTTGGAGAAAAAAAAATATATTTTTTTTTATATATATATATATATATATATATATATATATATATATATATATATATATATATATATATATATATATATATATATATATATATATATATATATATATATATATATATATATATATATATATATATATATATATATATATATATATATATATATATATATATATATATATATATATATATATATATATATATATATATATATATATATATATATATATATATATGTGAATACAAGAAATAAAAAAGGGGGGGAGAATGTGTGTAAGAACTTAGTGGTGGAATATATAAGAGTGAGTTGTCCCACAAATTAAAGACAGCCTTCAAATTTAAAGGCTGTAAATTTGAGTATGTAAAACCCACAATAGACCCAACTCCAATGGAACCCTATGCTAATTGTCTTCCTATATTTATTTAATTTTATTCTTTCAACTTTTTCAAAGTTGATCGGTAAAAATAGCCCTACTTTAGTTGGGGTTGTCTAGGGTCCGAGAGGGTTGTACTTCTCGGACCATAACCAATCAATAAAATCATGCCACGTATGATTAGTACGTACCCTATAATAAAAGGTACGAACCCTGTGTTACAGGTAAAATTACATAGAAACCCCTTGTAATTAAACTTAAAAATATAATTAGAAAAATCAATAATTCAAAAGTTAATTACATATTAAATTTTAAAATCGTTAAATGAAAATTTTCTAAACACGACTTATTATTTCACTAATCATTTAACCTAATCTCCCCAATCGGTTTCTTTTCATCATCCTCACCATCATCGATATTTCCTCTTGAAAGAACTATATCGATCGTTCATCTCAAAATAAAAAAAAATCATTAACGATCTTTTCCTCCATTAATCATCAATCAGTCAAGGGACAATGTTTCTTCTCTGTGAAACAAGAAAGTTAAGGACTAAACTTTTGATTTTTGTTTGTTTAGCAATTTTCTCTTGCGCAACTTTGTTGCTACTTATTATTATTCAGAGA